TTTTTTTTTTTTTTTTTTTTTGTCAAGGTAACTCCATATTGTTCAGGACAGTGGCTATACCAATTTACATTCCCACCAACAGAGTAGGAGGGTTTTTCATACCCTTTCTTTCATACCTTTTCTTCATACCCTCCCCAGCATTGATTGTTTGTATACTTTTTGATGATAGCCATTCTAACTGTTGTGAGGTGATTCCTCACTGTAGTTTTTATTTGCATTTTCCTGATGATTAGCGCTGATGAGTGCCTTTTCATGTGCCTATTGGCCATCTGTACATCTTCTTTGGAGTGCTTACATGCTAAGGTGCTTCAGTCATGTCTGACTCTTTGTGACCCTATAGACTTTAACCCACCAGGCTCCTCTGTCCATGAAATTCTCCAGGCAAGAATACTTGAGTGGGTTGCCATTTCCTTTTCCAGGAGATCTTCCTGACCCAGGGATTGAACCAACACCTCTTATATCTACTGCATTAGCAGGAGGGTTCTTTACCACTACTGTCACCTGGGAAGCCCCCTTCTTTGGAGAAGTAGATCCAAAGAAGAATTTAGGTTTTCTGCACAGTTTTTGATTGTATTTTTTTTAATATTTTGAGCTGTATGAGCTGTTAGTGCATTTTGGAAATTAATCCCTAGTTAGAATCCTCTTTTTCAAATCTTGGATATGAGTAAAACACAAGAGCTAAGAGTTTGAAGAAGTCATAACATCTAGTTTTAAATACAGGAGGAAAATAGGCATGTCTATATAATCAATCTTAGGGAAAGGATTTGTGAAACAGAAAAGACTAACCAAAATAGAGCAAGGATAATACATGAAGCAAAGCTTCTGAAGACATGGAAGAGGAAAATAGAGTATAAGTTGGATGTTTGGTCTACAGAAGAGAAGGTCAGGTGGGACCGGAGATAAATGCATGGGTCAAGAGACAGGAAGTATAAAATTAGAGCCTAGAGTTGGTGGAAGATGGACACATGAGAAGAAAGATTAGAAGTGCATGTACTGCTACATTCTACAACATGGTGATTCTTGAAAAAATTATGTTATGTAAAAGAAGCTAGTCACAAAGGCCACATAATATATGGCTCCATTTATATGAAATTGTCCAAAATAGGAAAATCATGACAGAAAATAGATTAATGATTAACTAAAACTAGAAGGATGTTGGAATTAGGCACTGATAATGATAGGGTTTCATTTAAGAGTGATGAATATGTTCTAAAATTGATTGGTGATGGTTGCACAGCTATATTCAAAGATGACTGAGTAATGCACTTTAAATGGGCAAATTGTATGATATATAAGTAAGATTTCACTAAAGCTGTTGCAAAAAGACAAATAAATATGAAAGATGTTATGATGAATAATTAATAGATGATTATTTTGATAATGTGATAAATATAATAGCTAATATGTACTGGTATGATTAATATAAGAGCTAATATTTGTCAATATAATAAATACAATAGCCAACATTTAATGAGTATTGACTTTGTACTAGGCACCATGTTAAGTACATATACTATTTTATTTAATTAACACAGTAACTCTGTTAGTTGGGTATTTTCATTCTACTTAACAGATGAGGAAATGATGAGACATTAACTAGATCTATTTTGGTGATCAATTCACAATATATACAAGCATCAAATACATTGTACACCTGAAGCTAATATAATGTTATGCATCATTAAAAAAATGAGAGAGAAATACTGTACAAAGTCACACAGTTGGTAAATGAGAAGCCATATATTACCAAAGGCATTACTGCTAATCAACAGATAATATTTCCTAGAACAATGTGAAGTCATGGACTTTTCCATTTTTCTATCACCAATCTTAACACATAATAACATTCAATAAATGTTTGGCCAACAAATTAATGAATGAAACTTGTCTTATTCAGAGTAGTAAATAAAGTGGTGACTTCTATAAGAAATAAAAATACTGGGAAGGAAATAATTGTTGTCCTTGACTATCTACTGAATAAATATTATTAAATTATATAAAATTATAATACTTTGTCAACAAAAAAATAGCAAATAATAGCAAATGATATTTTTATGGCTGCCAGAATAAAAAATATTTAGAGAATGTATTAGAAAGGAGTTAATGTATTAATTAGAGTGGTATCATCTGCATATCTGAGGTTGTTGATATTTCTCATGGCAATCATGATTCCAGGTTTAGATTCATCCAGACCAGCATTTCACATGATGTACTCTGCATATAGGGACTTCCCTGGTGGCTCAGATGGTAAAGAATCTGCCTGCAATGCAAGAGACTCAGGCTCAACCCCTGGGTTGGGAAGGCCCCCTGAAGAAGAGAATGGCTACCCAATCCAGTATTCTTGCCTGGAGAATTCCATGGACAGAGGAGCCTAGTGGGCTACAGTCCATTGGGTCACAAAGAGTCAACACAACTGAGCAACTAATACTTTCACTTTAACTCTGCATATAAGTTGAATAATCAGGGTGACAATATATAGCCTTGACATACTCCTTTCCCAATTTTGAACCTGTCAGTTGTTTCATGTCCAGTTCTCCTACTGCTTCGTAACCTGCATACACGTTTCTCAGCAGGCAGGTAAAGGGGTCTGGTATTCCCATGTCTTTTTAAAGAATTTTCCACAATTTGTTGTCATCCACACAGTCAAAGGCTTAAGCATAGTCAACGAAGCATAAGTAGATGTTTTGTCTGGAACTCCCTTGTTTTTTCCATGATCCGATGAATGTTGGCAATTTGATCTCTTTGAAACCCAGCTTGTACATGTGGAAGTTTTTGGCTCATGTACTGCTGAAGCCTTTCTTGAAAGATTTTGAGCATAACCTTGCTATCATGTGAAATGAGTCCAATTCTGTGGTAGTCTGAACATTCTTTGGGATTGATCTTCTTTGGGATTGGAATGAAAACTGAAATTTTCCAGTCTGTGACCACTGCTGAGTTTTCCAAATTTGCTGACATACCGAGTGCAACACTTTCACAGCATCATCTTTTAGGATTTGAAATAGCTCAGCTGGAATTCCATCACCTCCTATAGCTTTGTTAGTAGTGATGCTTCCTAAGGCCCACCTGACTTCACACTCCAGGATATCTGGCTCTAGGTGAATGATCTGACAATCTTGGTCATCTGGATCATAAGACCTTTTTTGCATAGTTCTGTGTATTCCTGCCACCTCTATTTAATTTATTATGCCTCTTGATTAGGGTGAAAGAGGAGAGTGAAAAGGCTGGCTTGAAACTCAGCAAAAATAAAAATTTAAGATCACAGCATCAAGCCCCATCACTTTATGGCAAGTAGAAGGAAAACATGGAAGTAGTGAAATATTTTATTTTCTTGGGCTCCAAAATCACTGCATAAATTGACTGTAGCCATGAAATTAAAAGATGCTTACTTCTTGGAAGGAAAGCTATCACAAACCTAGACAGCATATTAAAAATCAGAGACATCACTTTGCTGACAAAGGTCCTTATAGTCAATGCTATGGTTTTTTTCCAGTAGTCATGTTCAGATGTGAGAGTTGGATCCCTAAAGAAGGCTCAGTGCTGAAGAATTGATGCTTTCAAATTGTGGTGCTGGAGAAGACTATTGAGATTCCCTTGGACAGCAAGGAGATCAAACCAGTCAATTCTAAAGGAAATCAACCCTGAATATTCATTGGAAGGACTGAAGCTGAAGTTCAATATTTTGGCCACCTGATGCAAAGAGCTGACTCATTAGAAAAGACCCTGATGCTGGGAAAGACTGATGGCAAAAGGAGAGGAGGGTGGCAGAGAATGAGATGGTTAGATAGCACCACCGACTCAATGCACATGAGTTTGCGCAAACTCTGGGAGATAGTGAAGGACAGAGGAGCCTGGCATGCTGCAATCCATGGGATCACAAAGAGTGAGACATGCTTTAGTGACTGAACAACAACAACAGTGTTAAGTAAACTAATATATGTAGTTAATATGGTGCCTAGTACAAAGTCAGTACTCAATCTGACAAAGGAAGACAATTTCTCTAGCATACTAGTACATTATCCATTTACATGTTTAAAAGTATCTTCAAATTAGGAGTATAAGCTTTCTTATTTTCTGCTTGGTTACTCACAGTCTTCTGTGAAAGAAAATATTGAGCATCAAGTTCACTACTCTAAAGAAATAGGCACTTGCCTTGATCCAATTCCATGGACAGACTCTTGATGCCAGTCAAGTGGGAGACAAAGCAGGACAGAGCAAGCACATGTCAGCCCTTCCAGGACATGTACTCTGAACGGTCACTGTGCCACTGCCCCATTAAGGTTCTTGCTCAGTGACACAATCTCCCTCTGGGGTCCAGGAGATCTGTGCAGCAAGCTTCTCTGAAACTTTCTTGCACACTGCAGTTCCCTTTTCAATTGGAACCAGGGACACCTCAGGGGCCCTTGCAGAATTGTAGGGGAAATGCTTCAGTCTTAACACATGTGACATGGAATTTAGACAGAGACTTGTTTCAGTCCCAAATCTGTTTATCTGAAACACGTCAATATATGATGTTCCTTACCTAACACTTGGAGGTGATACTCATGATGGAAATTCCCATCACTTGTTACTATTTGACACGTGTAATTCCCATCATGAGTGATGACCACTGGATAGATCTGAAGGGCAAGATTCTCGTTAGGTCTGGAGGCCCAGGTTATTCTCTTGTCAGTACAGTTTCCTCCTATGGTCTGATTCGTATCATGCCTAAAGGCTCTGAAGCAGGGTGGCTTGTCTCTGAGGACTACTTCCCATGTTGCTAGCAGCACACTTGTCCACAGCACAGGAGGGCAAGGGAGCACAGCTTTTATAACTACTAGTATTGATAGTGAAATTTTAACTGGAAATACATACATAAACACACAAACAGAATAATAAAAGAAAAACTTTATAAATACTTCATGTGTTAAAATTTATTCGCAGCATACTACATGAAGTTGTACTTGAAATTTACTTTGCAAGTGGTCTTCTTCCAGAAATATTAGACTTCCAGAAATAACATTCATGAAATATATAAAGTATAGTATTAAATCCATCCAATGATTAACCAACTTCTTCCTGTGTTATGTATCATTAGGAAAATAACATGTATTATATGTATGATGATTTTTTTAAGTGTCATGAAAATTAATTCAGAAGATTTGATATCTATGAAACAAACTGATGAGAAAACAGAATCTGAATTAAAAGACAAAGACAGTGTTCTAGTCTTTCATCATAGAGACTGTCAGATTTATCTTATAATTCATACTCCTCAGGATAGAAATGAAATGATAAATGAAGTTTTGTCTCTTACTAAGTTTTGATGAGAGAGAATCAATCATTAACATCATAACTAAATGCCTTTTCCTAAGGGTGGCACTTCAGGCAAATGTTAAGTAATGAAAACATATGGTACTTTCATTAAAAATATCTAGAATGATATATTTTTCTTTCTGTCTGACTTATTTCACTTAGCATAACATCCTCTAGGTCCATCTATATTGTTGTTAGTGGCAAGATTTTATTTTTTATGCCTCAGTAATAGCAATAGTAAAATAGTCCATTGTATAAATATGTGTGTGTATCACATCTCTATACAGTCATCCATCCATTTATCTTAATTGTGTTGAAGTACCAAAAGAAACATTCAACAGTATTAAATAAAACATCAGGATGTACAGATATAAAACATTATTTATAAACAAGTGGAATTTAAAAAATACCAAATCAGAAATTAAAATTCAGTGGATGGATTAGTTTCATCAGGATAAAAATGGATAAAGGACCACCCAACTTAAAGCTAGACAAATGAAAGTCCTCCAACCAGTAACATAAAGAACAGATTAAAAATAATAGAACTTCAACAGCTGGTGGGGCAATATAAAAAAGATTAACACATATATATTAGAATCCAGTAGCATATTAAAAGTATTATATACCATAATCAAGTGGGATTTACTTAGGAATATAAGGACAGATCAACATATGAAAATCAATTAATGTATTACAAGACAAAACCACACCATATAATCATTTCAATTGATGCAGCAAAAGTCTTTGACAACACACTTTCATAATAAAAACACTCAACAAACTATGGATAGAAGTGAACACCTCAATCTGATAAAACAGATATTATGAAAAAACCATTTCTAAGTCAGTCTTAATTATCAAAGGCTAGATGCTTTCTTCCTAAAATCAGGAACAAGACAAGGATGTCCTCTCTTGCCTCTTCTATTCAATATCATTTTGGAATTTCCATACAGACAATTAGGCAAGAAAAAGTAAATAAAAACATAATAGTAATTGTAAAGAAAGAAGTGGGCTTCCCAGGTGGCACTAGTGGTAAAGAACCTGCCTGCCAATGCAGGAGGCATGAGACATGGTTTTGACTCCTGTGTCAGGAAAATCCTCTGGAGGAGGGCATGCCAATCCACTCCAGTACTGCTGCGTGGAGAATCCCACTGACAGAGGAGCCTAGGGGGCCCTAGGGGTCACAAAGAGTCAGACACGACTGAGGCAACTTAACACATACACACAAAGAAAGAAGTAAAACTATTTCTATTTGAAGATGGCATAATCATGTACATAGAAAATACTAAGGAATCCATTAAAAAAACATTTCAACTAATAATTTCAGCAAGTTTGCAGAATACAAGATTAATGCCTAAAAGTCATATTTTCATATACTTGCAATAAAAAGTTTAAAAAACAATTCCATTTACCATAGCATCAAAAAGAATAAAATACATTAGGAAAAAACTTTAGAAGAGAAGTGTAAAATTTTCATTCTAAAAATACAAAACACAGTTGAAAGAAATTAAGACTTAAATAAATGAAAGACATTCATATTCAAGAATCAGAAGACTCAATATTGTTAAGATGCCAACACTCCTCAAATTAATCTGCAAATTAGATACAACCTCTATCAAAATCTCAACTGGGTTTGTTTGCAAAAATTGACAAGTTGATGTTAAACTATGAAAATGCAAAAATTCTGAATAGTCAAAATGACCTTTTAAAATTACAAAGTTGGAGGACTCACATTTACTTATTTAAAAATCTACTATATTTATTAGGACACTGTGATATTGACATAAGGATAGACCTGTAAAGCAATGAAATAAAATTTAAAGTCTAGACATAAACCAATGTGTCTCTGGTCAACTGATTTTCAACAAAGGGTCAAGATCATTCAATGGAGAAAAACAGTCTTTTCAACAAATGGTGCTGGAGCAATCGGATATCTACTTGCAAAAGAATAAAAAAGTTAACTCAATATTAATCATAGACCTAGATGTAAGAGTTAAAAGTATAAAACTCATAAAAGAAAAAAATAGGAGTAAGTATTTGGATTAGGTAAAGTCTTCTTAGATATGATGCAGAAAAGCATAAGTGAAAAAGGGAAAAGTAGATAAATTGTATATCAAAACAAAGAAGTCTTGTACTCAAATAACACTATTGAGAAAGTGAAAAGACAACCCACAAAATGAGTAAAAACATTTGTAAATCACATACTTAATAAGAGATTTATATCTGACATACATAAATCTGTGCATGTCCAGTCATGCCAACTGTTGTGACTCCATCCTGACAGGCTCTTCTGTCTATGGGATTTCCCAATGGAAAATTGGGAAAATTTCCTCCTCCAGGGAAATCTTCCCAACCCATGGATCGAACTTGAGTCTCCCATGTCTCCTGCATTGCAGGCAGAGTCTTTACCATTGAGGCATCAGGGAAGCCCCTAAAGGGCTTTTATGAATAAATCATATAAAAAGTAAATAATCCAATTTAAAATTGAGCAAAAAAAAAAAAAACTATTGAATAGATAGTTCTCCAGAGAAGATATAAAAATATCACATCATCACATAAACACATGAAAAGATCCTTAATATTGTTAATCTTTAAAGAAATACAAATAAAAACCACAATAAGATGTTATTTCATCCCCACACAGGTAGCTGTAGTCAGAGAGGTAGAAAATAACACATGTTGGTGAGGATATGAAGAAATTGAATCTTTAACAAGTCTCTGGTGAAAATTTTACATTGTTCATTCACTTTGGAAAATAATTTGTAAGTTCTTTAAAAAAAAATGTAGAGTTACCATATGACCCAGCAATTCTACTTAAGCTCTATCTCCAGAAGAAATGAAAACATACATCCACAGAAGTTTGTATTCAAACATTTGTAGGAGAGTTGTTCGTAATAGCCCAAAAGTGGAAACAATCTAAATGCCCATTAACTGATGAGTGGGTAAGTAAAATGTGGTATACTCTTACCATGGAATATTGTCAGGCAATAAAAAGTGATGTAGTGATACACACTATAGCATAGAAGGATCTTGAAAGCATTTTGGTAAGCCAATCACAAAAGACCACATATATGATTTCATACATATATAGTTTCTAGAATAGGCAAACATATGAAACAGCAGTATACTTGAAGTTTCCTAGAGAAGGTGTTGTGGGGAGATGAAAGGGAAATTTATCCTTAAATCAAATACTAAAAACGGATAATGCAAAGTAGTATAGGCAAAAAAAAAAAAGTCAATAGATTAGTTTAAATGGTGTTCTTAAAAATATTAGTTAACTCAAAAGAAGGCAGGAAAGAAGAAACAAAGGAACAATAAACAGAGGGGACAAAGAGAACACAAATAGTAAAATGATGGGTGTAAATTTTATCATATTAACAACTATATTCTATATTGAGACAAAAGCAAAGATTATCAGAAAGGATAAAAAAGCAAATTCCAATTATATGAGGTCTACAAAAATCAACTTTAAAATAAAGATAAACACAAGTTGAAAGTAAAGGATAGAAAAATATAAACCATGCAAACAGGACAAAAAAGCTGGAGAACCTATATTAATAAAAATAAAGTCTTCAAGATAAAGACTGGGTGAGGAGCCAAGCTGGCAGAGGACTAGGACGGGGAGACCACTTTCTCTCCTACAAATTCATTGAAAAAACAATTGAACGCTGAACAAATTTCACAAAACAACTTTTGATTGCTATCAGAGAACATCAGATGCCCAGAAAAGCAACCCATTGTCTTCGAAGGGAGGTAGGACAAAATATAAAAGATAAAAAGGGAGGCAAAAGAGCTAGGGATGGAGTCCCATCCCAGGAAGGAAGTCTTAATAAAGGAAGTTTCCAATCACCAGGAAACCCTCGCAATGGCGAGTCCCCCTAAAAGCAACTCCCAGCAGAAAAGTACTCAGACGCCCGCACCTGCCACCAACAAGTAGGGGCGGAATGGAGAGGAGCGGGTGGCATTGCTTAGGGTAAGGACCGGCCCGAAGGCCCTGAGAGCAATCGGAGGGAGCTCTTTTAAACTGTGGGGTAGCAAGGGAGAAAATTAACCTGCCTGAACACACTGCCAGCGGTTCGCAAAACAAAGGGACTGAGAAACTCCAGAGAAGAGCCGCCCCATCCCCGCTGGAGGTAGGAGGCAGGGGGGAAGTGAAAGGGGCAAACTCAGCCCCAGAGAAGCCACCCCCTCCCACACTGTAAACAGGCCTCCGGTGTCTATCTGAGAACAAACGAAGCCACAGGTACCCAACCAGCGGCACGCGCTGAGACCGTGGAGGGAAAAGGCATGCCGCATCTGGGGAGAGTGCGCCCAAGCCCCTGGCTGCCTGAACCACTCAGGCCTGGGAAGGCACAAAACGCAGGCACAACCGAATCCACGCTTTTGTGGAGTACACGAAAACTGGAACCACAATCAACGCAGGGCCCGATCCATATAGAGCAGCCGGGAGCCTGAGCAGTGTAGACGGGGAAAGCACAGACACCTCTGTACGGGGCAAACCCAGTGTGGCCGGAACACGGTGAGTGCTATCAACACACAGCGATACCTGTCTGCAGCGCCCCGCCCTCCCCCTAGCAGGACTGAACTGAACTAGCGAACTTAAATAAGAGATCACCTCTGCCCGCCTGTGTCAGGGCGGAAATTAGACACCGAAGAGACGGCAAACAGAAGCCAAATAAACAAAGGGAACCGCTTC